CGGGGAGAGGAGGAGGCTGCAGGACTGAGGAGGAGCCTGGCAGGTTGGGAGTGAGGGGCACTGGCAGGGCTGTGTGGGGGCTGTGACTTGGGAGTGAGGGGCACTGGTGAGGCAAAATGGACTGCTGGTCAGAAGTGGAGGGCACTGGCAGGGATGGGGGGCTGCTGGTTGGGAGTGAGGGGCACTGGCAAGGCTGTGGAGGGGTGGCATATCACTGAGCCCCCCACAATCAGATACCTTCCCCCTGACACGTGTCCTTTTTTTTTTGGAGCTTAAAATACAGTAACCTTAAATTAGATCCCATACAAAAGGCCAGTAAAAGTTCTGACTATGCATGCATTCATTAGAACTACCTATACACAGACTAACTTATTACATGTTTTTATTACATGTATGAATACTTAGGAATATTAAGCTTAGTTTTTACTTTTTAAAAGGGTAAATAAGTCTGCTAATAGTTTCTCAAGAAAATGATAGCAGAACTTTACTGATAACCAGTACTGAACCGTACAACAGTTTGCAATGATGCAACTGGAAGCTGTTTATTTTCTTGTAAAGAGACACTGGATTGTAAAGATGGAGCAAGTCTTCTTGTGGCGCCACAGCTCCTTACTTACCAAGTGAGAGCCAGTTCACAGGGACACTGGTGAGACCACACCTGGAGTACTGTGTTCAGTTTTGGGGCCCCCACTACAGAAAGGATGCGAACAAATGGAGAGTCCAGCAGAGCAGAGCAAAATTGGTGAGGGGGCTGGGGCACATGATTTACAAGGAGAGGCGGAGGGAACTGGGTGTATTTAGTTTGGAGAAGAGAAGACTGAGAAGGAATTTAATACTAGCTTTTAACTACATGGAGGGAAGTTTGAAAGAGGATGGAGCTAAGCTAGTACTGCCAACTGTCGCGAAACCATCGCGAGACTCAGGATTTCTAAGTAAAAATAACTCCGACTTGCGATCTTCCAATCAAACCCTCAGATCTCCAGATTTTCCCAGCTGGTAAGTCTGTGGAGGGGAAGGGGCCAGGAGGTGGAGAAGGGGGGAGATTGAGGCTGTGAGGGAGGGAGTGGGGCAGGCGCAGGGGCTGGGGTGAATGTGGCCCCAGGGCTGGGGCGGGTTGTCCAGAGGTGCGGGGGGTGAGTGTGCAGCTCCTCACAGCAACATGCACCCCCGGGGAAGGCATGGGGGCAAGTACTCCTGGCAGGGCAGAGGTGGGCTGCCTGCTGCAGACCTAGGGCTCTGTGCCCTGCTGCTTTTGCCCTGGGAGCTCAGCCATGTGATGCCAGTGTGCTTCCTGCCACTGGGTAGGCAGGGGACACGCTGCACGGCCAGCACACCCTGCATCCCCTGCCCACCCAACAGGTAGCAATGGCATCACAAGGCTGAGCCCCTGGGGCAAAGGCAGGAGGGCACAGAGCCCTGAGCCTGCAGCAGGCACCCTGCCTCTGCCCCATGAGGGGCATGTGTCCCCGATGCCTCCCCAGGGGGTGTGTGCTGCTGCTGGGAGCTGCACTGATCTCCCTGCCCCCCCCCACCTCTGGACAACCCGCCCCAGCCCCGGGGCCCCATTCACCCCAGCCACTGCTCCTGCCCCACTCCCTCCCTCAGCCTCCACACCCCCTGGCCCCTTCCTCTCCACTTACCAGCTGGGTACTGTCTGTCTCTGTCTGCTCCTCGCTCCCAAGCCACAGCCCCCCCACCAGCCCTGCCGCGTCTCATTCCTTCACCTCATCCTTGATTTTTTAAGAGTTCATCTCATGTTTTTTGGCACAGTTGGGCTGGCAATACTACTAGACTGTTCTCAGTGGTGGCAGATGACAGAACAAGGAGCAACAGTCTCAAGGTGCAGCAAGGGAAGTTTAGGTTAAATTTCAGAAAGAATTTTCTCACCAGGAGGGTAGTAAAACACTGGAACAGGTTCCCTAGAAAGGTGGTGGAAGCTCCATTCTGGGAGGTTTTCAAAACTCAGCTAGACAAAGCTTTGGCTGGGATGATCTGGTTGGGGATGGTCCTGCTTTCATAGATCGTAAGGGGCTGGAAGGGACCTTGGAAGACCATCGGGTCCAGCCCCTGCACCAGGCCAGAAAGACAACTGGGGGTCAGGTGACCCCAGCAAGGTGACTGTCCAGGCTCCTCTTGAAGATCTCCAGGGTAGGTGACTGCACCACCTGTGGAGGGAGCTTATCCCACAGTCTGGACACCCTGACTGTGAAGAAGTTATTTCCTAATGTTGAGTCTGAAACAGTCTTCTAGGAGTTTGGGGCCACTGTGGCTTTGAGCAGGGGGTTGGACTAGATGACCTCGAGGTCCCTTCCAACCCTAATTTTCTATGATTCTATGACAAACGCATGGTTTTGTTCCTTGAACTTAGTCTACAGTCATGAAGCAAATAAAAGTTTAACAAGCAAGTTGCTACATACAATATTAGCCAGAAAAATATAATGAGGTGAAAATAAACCCAGGAATTGCTTTGTTACAGTGAGGGAGGAAGGAAGGAAACTTCAGCACATTAAGTTAGATATTTTTCTTGTTCTTGGACTTCCATCACAGATGTGGCTGAAAAGCTATACTCTCTGGAGAAAGCAGACACCAAAATTTGCTTAGCTGGCAGTTAATGCTGGCTATGTTAGCTTTGAGTGTGCTGAGCTTAGACAGTTTGAGAGGGTAAGTAAAGAAAAGTCATGAAACTGGTTGAATGATACAGAGCCTGCTGAGGTAAGCAAACTACTGAATACTAAGAGTATCAAGTTAGAGTTAACTGGCTTCCTGATTAGCACAGCAGGCGAGGTTCAGCTAGGATTGCTGGAGCTGTGACTTCAAGATTCTATTTTATCTACAAAAGACTTGCAATTTCTCAATAAAGGAGAAAACAGATAGGAATTCCCTTAACTTTACTGGTAGGCTTTTAAGTGCTGCAATTGATTTAATCCAGGCTTAATGGTCTGCACTGCCCATGAGCTGAATGAAGAACTAAGGCTGGGTCTACTTTGTGGGGCTCTTGCCACTTAAACTAAGGGGGAAGCACGAGGGCAGCACAGTCATATTGACTGAACATTGCTCTGCTTGCAAAACAGCCTCTGTGAACAGAGGTGTGCTCACAATGAGACTAAAAAAGACATCCTACAGAGGTACAACCCCACTGTCCCACTTTAATTCCACCTACAAATTACCAAAATAACTCTCCCTCCCACCTGAAAGTGTGTGTGGGGGGGGGGGGGGGGGTGGTTGTGGTTATTGTGCCT